GCCAAAAAAAAAAAAAAAAGATGAAATTCTCACACACTGATGCTGACTGGCATATAACAATAAGTATGGTAAAAAATGGAATGTAAGATATATACTAAAGAGGAAGGAAAATAAGTGCACAAAGAAAAGGTGAAAGAAAAGCTGTTATTTCTCAGCCAGTGGTTGATCCCAGCACAGTGAGTGGAAGCAGCAAGTGGAAAACTTGCTCTTGGGTTTTTATCAAGTATTCAAACAAATAAACAAGAAGAAATGGATTTTCAAATAGCTAAAAATGGATGACCTAATAATGCGGCAAGATACCTGTTTCCATTTGTGTAATATTTTTCTAAGATGCTGATAGTCTATTAGGCTAAGTTTTGTATCTTGTGTTCAAAAACACCTCTCTTCCTGTGCATAAGCACAAGTTCTTGCTTGTATCTATCCGTGTGTCTGTTTATTTTAAGATTTCATTTTTATTTTTAAGTATGTGTATATGCATGTGGTTATTTGCACATGAGTGGAGTGCCCATGGAGGCTAGCCTGGAGTTGGAGTTGCAAGTGGTTGTGAGCCACCCAACATGAGTGCTGGGAGCTGAATTCTGGTTCTTTGCAAGAGAAGAGCACGTTCTGAACTGCAGAGCACGTTCTGAACCGCTTCCCGCTATTCACGTATTTATAAGGGACAGTAGTTTTGTAGTAGTAAGATCTGCGGCTTCACCCAGAATCGCTCCCAGGTTTATACAAGTTTTAAAACAGAAGGTCCACCAGACCCATTCACTCACCCATTCTGCCACTTTGCTCTGTACTTTCAGTTCAGGATGATTAACGATGTTGTGGATTGCCACAGATATTCTAAACATAACCCCATCTGCACATTAGAAATAGGATTAATCTAGTAATTATATTTTATATTCATAACATAATGCAGAATTACAATCACATCATTTCACACATGTTCAAAAGGTACATAAGGCACAACATGTTTAGAAAGATTTTGTATTAAAATTACTGACTGCTCCAACTCCTTAGAAATAGTTATCAATTATCTTACAGATAATTCACTGCTTTTAAATAATCACTTGGTTATGACCTTTGCAATAATCGTAAGCTATTTTTTGATTCTATAGGTTTATGACACCTAATGCCAATAAGGTGATGATTTTTCCATGTAAAGTCTGATTTTTGCTAACAAGAAAGTATACTGTTTCACATATTATGAAAAGTGATAAATGGATATGAAAAATTAAAGGGAGTACTCAGCAGGATTTAGTCTGAAAACAAACAGGCACATACATATCCCTTCTCTAACAATCCTTTCTCCCTTCACCACACCTTCCTTCCCTTTCCCCCTCTCCCCTCCTCTCTTTCCCCTTGTCTCTCTGATCCCTTTCTTCCATTCCTTCCTCTCAGTGAAGCATTTACTTCTAGCAAATTATTGGGATGGATTTGATCAGGTTTTTCACCTAAATTTCTAAGTGTGGTCACCAACACCAAAGTAGAAGAGAAAAGTGAATGTTTACAGATGGAATTTGAACTGATCTGATAAGCTTTAAAGAAAATCATATTGTGAAAAGAAGGTTCAATGCCCCTCCCCTCAGGAGAATCTTTGAAGCGGTTGAGCCTTTTCTCCCCATGAAAATTGAACCCACCACCTGCAAAGGTTTGTGAAATACACTCTAGTTGTGTGCTTTGGGGAACTTGACTCAAAGTAGCTAATGAGAAAAATACTCTTTTAAAATATGTTAAAGAGAAGGGAAAATTTGATGTCTATTATTGCCAGTTATCTTTCTCTATGGTTTTTAGATAAATATTAAGTAAAAAGCATAAAAGATCTAAAAATACATAATTAAAACAATGTTGAAGAGTGCATTCAATAAAATTGTGTGGAAACAGTAGAAAACTATGTAAAACAACGTCTCTGGTAAACTCTCCCAATATACCAAAAATGTAAATTCTAGTCCCACAGTCATGTCATCAAAGCTCATGTTAAATCATATAAATTGTCACCTGCTAATACAATAAAACAAACATATAAAACTCGCCTAAGTTCAAAGACAACTGAGATTATTTATTTTAACTTCTAAAGCTCCTCTGATATTTTAATGATTTGACTTTTTATATTCCTTTCATAAAATATGTTTGGAAAGACAGTATTTAGAAGAACATATAAAAATTACAGTAACTCAAATTTAAAAACTCTGCATAGCTCCCACCATCAAATCATGGGCATTCTTAGAGGAAATTCAAGTTGCAAAGGCCCCAGATTACCTTCAGGATCCAAGGGATAGATAGTCTGTGAAAATTCACAGATGCTTGTAGAGAACCTAAAAGCTACCACTAGATGGAGTAAGAAAGCATGCTTTTGCTCTAAATTATTTTTTTCTCTTGCTTAGATTGAAAATATTACAGAACATTTTCTTGAGACTGTAATGGAGGTAGGGCACAGATTCATTATTTGTGGAAATATTTAGATCAGCCATGACATCCTAAAAAATCTGTGAACAGTTATTTTAAAGATGACTTAGTATGTATTCTGAGGTATTGGTTAAAAATTCTACTTAAAATAATGAAATCTCTGCAAAGAAAATAGAAACATTTCAGAAACAAACAGAAAAAAAAAGTTTGTTGATATAGCAAGGTGGTATACCTTTCAAACATGCTAACTCCCCTCTCTTTTCCCTTTGTTAGAAGATTATTGTCAGTAAAATTCTGACAGTCCAGAGGTAAAAACACTGGACAAGGGAGATAACGTTTTTGACAGCTGTGCCAATCTTTATGACAGACAAAATAGGGCTTTCTAACATATCAGATGACAGCCTGAGAATGTTTACTATACCAGTTTCTCAAAGAATAAGAAATTGTTGATAGCATGTGAGTGACATTAGACAGTTCAGGCCATGGCTTAATGCGATTTACTCACAGGAAAAAATAATTCACTTTTCAATTATTTTAAATTAGGTTAGAAGGAATAAAATCTTATTTGAATATCCTCTATCTTTAATACTTTGTTACTTTTCCTCTTTAAAAATGTTTTTTTTTTTCCCAAAAAGGTCCTAGGCTGTAAAATGTGAGAAGCCAGATGGAATATTTTCCGTTTTCACTTGTATGTTATAATGTGTAGTTATGATTTCATTTTATAATAGTGAAAATTATTTTCCATGTGAATACAGATAATAAACAAATAGCAAGAGGACATTACAAGTATATGGTAAAAATTGCTAAGATGATAGACAACTTTGAGCACAAAATTTTGAGACTATTTCCACCACATGACTTCTTAATAGTTTTAAACGTTAAAAAATTTTTCTTAAGCCCAACAATGAATGAGTTAGATTCTTCTTTATTAAAGTGGTCAAGATAAACCATTTTAACTGATTCTAATATTTGCTTGCTTTGTTGAAAGTCCAGCGAAGGTTGTGACGCAGAGAGAGATGGACTGAACAAGGCTCTCTTCAAGAATGTCAAAAACTGCATGATTAAGTGAATACAGCTCCACTCCACCAAGTAGAGAGGGCTCTGAAGCACCCATATAAATGTTCTTGGGCAGCAGAGGGTGTGCCAGTTGTGGAGGGAGAATGCCACAGAGGCTCTTTGTATGTTCATACAAAGAGGGAAATACTTGGTTAGAATTATAATATTCCCATCTGCTGGCCAGTGTCCATATGAAATATGCACTGGAAACTTCAGCTGCTGGTGCTTTCTTGGGGGTTGCTGGAATTTTTGCTCCATCATAAATCTCCTTGGTGTAACTAGCAGAATAACCATAAACATTTCCCTGAATCGATGTCTTTATAACCCTAATGAAATTTATATCTATGTCTCATGTAAAATATTCCATACTTCCAATGTTAATGTCCTCACAGAGGAAGTTGATATAACCTCTAAAGCCAAAAGAAAAAAAAAGTGATCCAAGTGAGTTTCTTTTCTCCATGCTTTGAACCCCTGGTTATACATTCCAGATGCCTTGGCTTTACAAGTTAAAGGACCAGAGTTTAGGATTTCCTTTGCTTCTAGCATTTCATTTTGGGGAATGTTAGTGTGTTGAAGGCAGTGGTGTGGTCACCTAATTAGAATATGTCTTTATTACAAGAAACTGAAACCCCTAACTCCAAATTGCAGATGGCCATATATGTGGCCAGTCTAAAATGTGGCAGAATAAGGAAAGACAGATTCACCTGGCTTTTCCTCTATTGACTTCTTACATGATATAACTGTCATATTTGAAGATGATGATTAATACTAATGGAAAAGTATATATGGAGAAAAAGTTAGGAAGTGTTGAAAATTAGCTGAATTTTTATCATTAAAAAATTGGGGCCAGAAGTGGAACTCAAAGACAGGGTGCTTGCCTATCACATGCACAGCCCTGAATTTGATCCCCAGTACCATAAAAACAACCACCAACAACAAACTGATGACTTATTTAAAATCAACTCTAACATTCTTCAACAAGCAAAAAATGGAATGAAATATTACATAGACATTGTTATAAACATCATAAATATCTGAACATAAAGTTGTCATCTAAGAAAATTTAAATGACAAAAATTAGTTTTCTGACACTGTAACATTATTTTAAAACCAGTTTCCCGAAGTGGTAGTTTTGTTAAGTCCAGCCTGCTGTTCCTTGGGCTGTACTACATACATCTATCTTTCAAGCAAACAAAACTTTCCCAAAGATAGTACTTCAACAAAATAACTTTTCTTTCTCAGATACAATATAATGAAAACCAATTCCTTTTACTGAAATGTCTTTTTCTTTGAAGGAAAATGGAAATGCAGAAGAGAAGCATTGGATGATGATGATGAGGAGGAGGAGGATGATGTGCATCAAGAGACCACGGGTGATATGTATTTATTTTAGGAGCCTTGTAAATGTGCAAAGGTACTAACTGTTGCCAGTCATAGAACTTTGCTGGAACATTCGATATTGTCACTCTCAGAATATAATTTTCTAATACTTTAGAAACAGTACAGGTAGAAAAGGTGATGAATCTTACCATTGTTCTGTTTATGGATTCTGTTAGTAACAGGAATGTTAGAGGTGACAATGGGTCCTGTACTACTAGAAGAATTTACAGTAGCTGGTAATAAAGATGAAAAAGATGCAATTTTACAAGGAGCATAAAATAGTTAACATGGATGAGCAATCTACAAGTAATGCATGAAAATGCATAGAACGAGAGAGGAAGCCATTTCTTGCTGCTAATACTATTTAGACTAAAAGCTTACAGTGCATGCAGTGAAACAAGGCTTTCTATGACACATTAAGGATCATCTCACATGACTTTGGTGCCATGTAGCACAAGGGTCTGGAGCTGGCACAAAGGGACTGGGAAAGGACTTTTAGATTCTACACCTAGGTCTGCCGTTAATAGGCTGTTAATCACACAAGAATCCACAAACACTGACCTGACCTGTGGGACGAATTCCACAAGGATGACCTTACAGGGGAGGAGCACTACATCAGAGATGCATCTGACACTTAACACACCCACAAGAACCCCATCTACAATGCTTTGACAGCAGCTTTCTATGGGACTCAACACACATAATTTCCCTTTAGTTTCTCTTATGAGTGCGTTTGTACAGGAGCACAGTCATGTGTGCAATGACTATTTGTTGTCTTGTGTTGTTTTGTTTTGAGACAGGGTTTCTGTGTAGCCACAGCTGGCCTAGAGCTTACTATGTAGACCAGGCTGAACTTGCTCTCACAGAGATCTGCCTGCCTCTGCCTCTGGAGTGCTGGGATTAAAGGTGCATGCCACCACACCTGGCTTGTTATTTCTTTTTTATTAAATATACTTAAATCTAAAATGTTTAAGAGATGAAGAGAATTATATTTCAAGAGCACCAGAGAAAATGATGAATTAATTCTTTGACACAAAATTCATGTAACTATATTTTCCATTCCAGAATGATATAAACACTTAAGAATGGAAATAATATTGATGATTTTTTTAAAAAATTGTGAACAATCGAGTTTATCTTAATCAAAATGTATCAGGATAGTGCTTTTGTTCATTTATTTTAAAAATACAGGCAATAAAGATAGAGAAAGCTGAGTATCTGATCCTTTGGCCCAAAGAATATTAGATAGATATTTCAGAATAATGAGAAATAAGTAAACAAGTTGTTAAAACTTTCAGATCAAGGTTTTTCTGGTCAATTTTATATAACTATGCTGAATTCACAGAAAGAAATAAGCAATGTGATTTTTCATGGGGGTATTGACTGGAAAGTGTATCCAAGAAATGTTTTAGAAAGGAAAACAGAAAACAGTGAGTTTCCTCCTTTGACTCATCTCCTATTCTGAAATACAGAAAACAAGTTAAGTTTCTATTCATCTGATCCCCCTTCTAACCTGTCACCTTTGTGCCATGATCCACTTAATAAAGCCAGGTTTTATGAAAAGGCATGCCCATGATTCTCATGTGGTGTAGAACATGTTACTTTTATAGAGGAATTTAATAAAATAATGGTTGAAAACAAGTCATGAGAAATTAGGAGGACGAATGATAAATTTAAAACAGCATACTTATGTTACCTTATAACTTACAGAAGTTTATGTATTATTTAGCATGCAACTATTTAGTATATAAAACGGTTATATCCACAATATAATCATTAAGCATCAAAATAATTAATACAGTAATATTAATATGAGCTTAGTATAATCATTTTATCTTGAGATTTAAGTTATACTGTACATCATAAATAGCCTCATGGCCTCATCTTCAATATCTTATCTAAATACTCAACATAAGTTCCTCCCTCATTTATGGACACGAGTACCTCTTAAAAATATTGTATGCCTGTATAGCAGAGTTTTGCAACCACCTGAGAAGAAATAGGGGAAAATAAGATCAACCTTTGTTGCGCAGCATATAATCACGTACATTTAGAAAACTCCATGTTTTATGGGAATGTGACCAGTGTATCCTAAGAATGCATTCTTTCTGCACACTGGTACTGTGTACCCACACAGCTAAACCATATCCAGAAATTCTTCTGTTTTGCTGGTTGATGGATTTCCAAGTGAAAATTAAGAATTAAAAGAATCAAAGCAGGGACAACTACATCATCCCAAAGAACAAGTAAGAAAAGAGTTTGCAGAGGATGATGCCAGTTACCTACCTTGACAGAGGGTTCCCAGGTCTGAGCAGCTGGCTAGCTCTGCCGCTGGGAGAGGGATCAGGTAGGAACCTTGGTCAACACAGAAGCACACACACATTTAACCCATGATTTACTGATATTATCCGAAAAGCAAATATTACAAATCATGTAATTGGTAGAGCAGGACCAGACCTAGAGGAATCAACTGATAATACTCCAACATGAAAATATAGTCATTCACTGTGCTTTAATTTCCTAATATGAAATTGAAAAATTGAAATTGCCCTTGAAATCTTGACTTCAGTTTGTCAGCCATCCACATATGACAGGAAAGAAGTGCTTTTGTCTCTTAAAGTTTGTATAAAATGTTTGGGGTCTTTTTTAATAATGAGCTGTTCATGTAAATGAAATAATATAAACATCAAGGCTAGGTTTCAAAAGTGAACTTGAATGATATGAATTACCATAAAATGCAATTCTTAAATCTTGGCACTAAAATATCTGTACTTTTTGCAATTCCGGAAATATGTTTCTCTGATTTCAAGTCAGTCTTGTTTCTTGTTACTTCAAGTTTTCACTGGCTCATCCTCAGAAGGAAATGAATGTTGAGCTGATTTTCTAGTAGAAGAACGAACTGTTTTCTGTTGCCCTTTATCTTCCTGTGATGATTAACAGAGTTATACTAACAGGTTGGGGCTGGCAAAGATGAGCTAAACTTATTAAAATGAATACTGCTTTTGAATAAACACATTAAAATAAATTCATACATATGCCTATACACGTGACATATATGTGTATAGACATAGGCATGTAATATATTATATATCTAGTTTAAAGGGGCATATATATGGCAGTAATTTTATTCTAATGTTGAAACTTTTTCCCAACTTTCCTGTGGGAATCACACGTGAAGTTAGAGCAGGTGCATGAGCTCACAAATATGTCTAATTAAGTAAATTATATGCGTAAGCAGAGAACATCTCAAGAGTTTAACTGTGTCTCAAGAACTGTATTCCACATTCTCATTGCCTCAGGCTCATGTCTCATGGAAGGAATCATGGAACCCCAAAAAGGGTCAGTCCTACAGGCAGGAGACGCCGCTTCATGGGTTCCTACAAAAAACACCCAGTGCCAGCAGCATGAGAGTGCAGAGGCCAGAACAGTGCACCTGGGATGTTAGCTCTCAGAGAGGCATGAATGGGAGCTGGTTTCACAGTTCTAAGTGCTCAGGGAAGAGCTTTGAGGGTGGTGGTGGTCCACAGAATGGAACAGCAGCTTGGTGAGAAGAGTGAACAGGAGGTCCAGCACAGATGCATTGAGGTGGTGAGAGCTCTGGGGCAACCAGACCGAATTCTGAAACATATGTCTAGGAGGCACTGAAGAGGTCTGGGAACCCAAGAACCTGGCATCATTGCAGAAGTAATTATAGAAAAGCGTGGAAATAATTAGATGCACGTCATTGTAGCTTGTGGAAGGCCTTCTAGATTAAACACCATGAACATCAGGGCTCTGAATCTTTCTTCCAGTGTGTGCTCAGGCTTTACTAAACAAACTACTGAACATAGTAGGAATGACCACTAAAAGTCTAGTCTCTCATTTAAAGGCAATGGGAACAAATAGAGGAGGACTTGGTTAAAAAAATAGAGTATCACTTGAAACAATAACTCTTGAGGTTCTAAAACTAAAAGGGGAGATACAAAAGGGATGGATACAATGAGGTGGATACAAGAAATGTAAATATAGAATGTGTAAGACGTAGTGGATAATTGGAAAGGGGAAGAGAAAGGAGAGAGAACTTTTTGCTAGTCTCCATCTTGAGAAATTGGTACATGATGACATAAAAGGAAATTGCAGGAGCATAAAGCAGGTTTCCATTATGAGCAGTGCGGGAAGCTATTTGTCTGTGAGACATCTATGATACATAACTGGGAAGTTGTGCTTCTCTAAGAGGCCCAGACAGGAAATGCTTAACAGAAACTTCTGAAGGGTTTGTGTCTACCAGAGCTGAGTATGGATTTCAGAAAAGAATGGGAGGGAACTAGAGATGTTACTGTATTCAGGCTTCAGAGGCAGAGTTGGGGGGTGCAGGGGAACAGCTCCTGGCCAAGATAGCTTCAGAGAATTTAAGTGAAGAAAGTTTAATGGTGGGTGTGGTGAGGAGTGTAACTGAAAGGTTTAAAGTGATAAAGGCTGGGCAGATCTTTAACTTGGCAGCATAGGACTAGTGTCAGTCCCGTGGGAACCATGAAACCCAGTCTGCAGAAGTGTGAAGAGGGAACACCAGGAGAGGAAGCCTGGTAGTGCAAGGAAGCAGAGATAGAGAGGGATTTTGAATTCTGAAAACATAAGCAAGTGTGTGCTTTGGGAAAAAGCATTTGATGAGGCAAAGTTGAAGGAGGGTGGAAAAGGAGATGGACTTTTATCTTGAGTGCTTTCTGCCCTTTATTCCTTCCCATCACAGTGTATGCTCACTTTCTCCCAGAACTTGCTTCTCCTACAGGCACTTATATTTTCAAAAGGACTTGTGAAAATGAAAAGAAGCTATCAAATGCAATGTGATCAGTGAAACCTCAGCCATTGTCATGCAGCAAAGGAGACGCTTGGATGGAGTTCCTGCAGTTCTCAGATTACACACAATGCTGGCAGTCCAGGGTTCCTCAGACACTTCTGGAACTGATAAAATATCTCTCCAAGACAAAGAGAGATAAGAGACAATGCTGTGGGAAAGAAGTTCTCAGGCAAACTACATTTCCATTATACTATGTTAAAGACCTTAGAGGTGGGAATAGGAAAAAAAAATAAAAAGAGTTATGATTTAGAACAAGATCGTGAACATTTTATCAGATCCATTGTATAAATTTCAATCTGTGGCTTGCTTTCGTGGGAAATTGTAAATATTTGCTTCTGAATATTTTAATTAGTTTTTCTTTCTGAGGAAATGTCTATTTGATCAAATTGATAGTGCTGTATAAATAATAAATAAAAACTGTGTTATTATGAGCTCATAGAGCAGGAAAAATTAAATTTGAATATTATTTTAGTCAAAATGGCACAAAAACAAGTGATATAACTTAATTAGAAGAAAGTTATATCGATAAATGGAATCTCATATTACAAACACACAGAATTACATAAAAAATGCATGAAATTCAAAGAGTAAATAGAGCTGAGTGTGGTGGTATGCCTCTTTAATTCCAGCTACTTGGGAGGCTGAGACAGGGGAATCATTTGAACCCAGGAGTTCAAGGCCAAGTTTCATCAGCATAGTTCTACCTCAAATAAATAAATAAATAAATAAATAAATAAAATATTTTCATTTCTACTCATTTACATCTTCATAAGCCATTTTCTTAGGCTGATAGATTTACAAATTGGGAGATTATGAAAAGGTACAATTCATTCTCTTGAGATAGTGATCTATCAATCATCAGTGATTTTTAGAATGTAATCTATGTATGTTCTCTGGTGTTTTATTCTATCCATGAATATTTAAGGCTGATTAGTTAACTGCAAAACTTAGACTCAAATTTTCTTGAAGAATGAAATCATTGAATTTGGGTAGTTGAGCTTGGAGATGTATTTTAGTTGATAGCGTGCTGGCCTAGTACACATCAAGTCCTGAGTTCCATCCCCAAACATTGCATAAAGCTGGCATAGTGGGGTATACCTATAATCCTAGCAAAAGATGGCAGGATGATCAGAAGTTCAAAGTTCTCTTTTCTATGTAGGGAGTTTGGGGTCAGCATGGGTGAGAGATCCTGTCTCAAAAAAGAAAAAAGAAAAAACAGAACATTGGTTAAAAATAAAGCTCTAAAGCTCCAATGTTTCTTCTCTGTCTGCTGCTGCTCTCCTCAGTCATGCTACTGAAGGACTCACAATTACTCATATCAGAGGTGGTAAAACAGACTGAGGCATAGACAGCAGCTCATCTCAATCCCTACTTAAGTATTCAAATAATAATAGAGTACGTTGTAAAACAGCAGAAAAGAATTATAACCTTTCAATGTTCCTCTTTGTTGCTGTTACTAAAATGAATTTTATAACTTTCCTGAAACAAACACATTTTAAAATTTATCTTATTTTATGATTTTATTATATATTTTACTTATGTATATGATTTTTCTTGCATATATTTCATTGTGTGTGTGTGTGTGTGTGTGTGTGTGTGTGTATGTTCGTGTGTGTGTGTAGGTGTATGTGTGAACATGTGTTTGGAGGCCTGAAGTTGATGCCAGGTGTCTTCTTCAATTGCTCTTCACCATATTTTTTGAGACAGGTTCTCTCACTGAACTTGACTTCACTGATTCCACTAGGCATTAACATGCTCCAGAGAGCCTTCTGTCCCTGTCTCCTCTGTGCCGGGACTACAGGCATGTGCTGCCATGTCAGACTTTTTACATGCATGTCAGGGATCCAACCTCAGGTCTTTCTAGCCATCTCTCCAGTCTTATTTTATAACACTTTCTTATTATGTGTAAAACTATTTCTGGAGATCGCCTATGCCCATAATGGGTTTGAGTATCTTCAAAGAATAAAATGCTTATAACATTAAAGTATTTCATTTTCCTTTAAAAATGACTGAGTAAGCTAAAAATGTTAAACTCAACAATTTGTTATGGATAGAATGAAAGAGCCAGTAATTGAATTTTAGAGCTGCGAAAGGTAAGATTGTAACAATTATGAAAGGGCAGGAACTGGAGAGTTGAGGGGGCCTTCACAATTAGGAACAAAACTCTAGAGATGAAAACAGAAGCCCATTGAAAAGAAATTCATAAATTTCTAGAAAAGAACAGCAATAAAGTTGAGTACTTAAATGTATGTCTTATCTCTGGGTCCACAGTGACTAAGAGATAGAAGTGTTTAAGAAATGCTTGTTAAATAAATGTAATTTATTTGAACTTGGACTATGTTCTATTCCTCAGGAAGGAGCAGAAATCAGTTAAATAAATAAAGCCAGTGGAGAAAGCAGTGTCTGTTCTTTGTGAAAACTGATGGGCATTAGCCAGTATCTAAACTTTAATCATAACACAGGCAAATACTCGCACATATAATTAAAAGGTCAGAAAAGGAAATTACCTATTCCTGGAGGTCTTAGAACTGAGTATATTTAACAATTTTTTTCTAGGAAAAAATAAAGATGTCATAACATTAAGAGAATTATTGAGAAATACATTTATTTAGGGAAAAAGTGACAAGATTAATGGTGATTTTTTAAGAAATAAACCTGTTAAACATTTCTCAAATTAAAAGGTATTCTCCAAATGGAAAATTATAGGGAAACAAAACAGTACAATTATAATTTGTTAAAAGTTATTAATAGCATTGGTTTTTATTAAGGTTAGGATAATTGATATGTGAAACAAATGACTAAGTATTTAACTAATCATTAAACGTAATCTGTTTTACTGTCTTGCTTTCACATTAGATAATAATTTATCTGGCAGTACACAGCTGGAAAATCTATTCATTTTCTACCACAAGTTGATCTTGGACTAGTTCATATTGAACAGATATTGTTAGTTCTTTGGAATGCTAGGAGTGAGATCCCACTTTCCTATTGGTTACTGTAATGATTGTGAGTTTGTGGAATTATGATAATATAAACAGCAAGACACAATAATCCTGGGGAAAATGAGAACATGCTTTTTTTTTTTTTTTTTCTGCTTATTGAAGCTTTGCCTAACAATCTAAGATACAATCTTTGGTGCAGGTATTTCCTGTCTGTTAATAAGTAACTTGGATTCTTCAGACCCTAAGCTGATGATTAAGCTGCAGGAAATTCCTTCTCCCACCATTCCTCCTGACACACACTGCGGGACAACTGAGTACACCCACTGTGGGGTTTAGCATCACCCTGGAATGTCGAGATGACTGCTAGAAAAGTAAAGAGACTCCAGTTCATTGCCTCTGTAAGGCTGTGGTGTTCTTACGATGAAATCATTTTGAAAACTTACAGATGACTAAGAGACTTGACCATGCATTTGATACATTCTGGTAATTGAAAGACTTTAGGAAATGAGTCTCAAAGGCAGTATTTAAGAAAATAGGAGGAATGTATGATCTCATTTATTTGTGGAATCTCAAGAAGCTGAAATCACAGAAGTAGATTAGAATGATGATTCAAGGGTCTGGAGGGCAAAAGGTGGGTCACAGGGGCCCAGATCATCAGTCAAAGGAAATAAAAATCACAGGAGTAATAAGTTTAAAAGAGCTATTGTACACCATAGTGGCTGTAGTTGAAAGCAAGGTACCGTGTGCTTAAAACTGAGAAGAATCTGAGGCTATAACTCAAACTGTGTCCTCCTTTCCCCAGCACTGGGAAAAGAAAAACATAGAAAAAGGAAATTGCTAAAAGATTTACATTTTTCTCACCACAAATGATTAAGTGTGAGTTAATAGGTTGAATTAGCCATTCCACAATGTATATAAGAAAACATTATGTTGTACAACATAATACATATAATTTTAAAAAATTTATTATTTTTTTATGTGTGTGTATATTGCCTGCATGTAGGTAAGTGCACCAGTGTTGTGCAATGCCTGCGGAGGACAGAAGAGGCTGTCAGATCCCCTAGAACTAGAGTCACGGACAGTTATTAGCTGACATATGGGTGCTGGGATTTGAACCCGGGTCTTATGCAAGAACAGCTGGTGTTCTTAACCACTGAGCCATCTCTCCAGCCCAATACATATAATTTTTATCAATTAAAAATAAAAGAAAATATGAGATTCCCAGACAGAAACTGGAGATGTATGTTTTAGCAAACCAACCACCTCAACAACTTAATTTTTCTAAGCTCCACTTTCTGCCCTATTTTAAATGAAAGGAGTGGTCTAAATTGAGATTCTCAAACTTAAACTCCCATCAAGGTCAGAAGGGATGTAAAGATGAAAAAGCAAGTGGAATGGGAGGATACGGGATGTTCTAAAGGCTGAAAGGGAACAGGCACAACTGAGCTCTAGCTGTGTTATTCATGCAGAAATGCTAGCCAAGTAGTGTTTTCCAGAACCAAATAATTAGTTTTTATGTGAAATTTAATTTTTTAATGTTGGAAATAAAGTCATTATGTAAAAGCCTATTGCAGAACACACACAAATGAGCAGCACACACAAATATACCGGTACCTCCCAAACCTAAGGGCACTCTGGGGCTTGGTTCATCACCTATGGCCTGGGTTTTTGGAGTTTTTTCACTGCTATCCAAAGTGTTGAGTCTTAGCCAATCTTATGATTCTTTGAAATAGTTTCAGGAGTCAGCAAATTTGTTCATGAAGATTGATAGTAAATGTTTTAGGACAGTGGGCCACAGAAGGATCAACAGTGAATATTTTAGGATGGTAGACATGCTGTATCTGTCACAGTCAGACAACTTGGCCCCTTTAGCACAGCCACAGCCATTGACAATACAGAAGCCAATGGGTATTCATTATTCCAATAAAGTTTTATTTATAAAGTAAGTTGTCTGATATAGGCCTTCTCACTTTGCCAACCCCTGGCCTAGAGGATTCTTTCCACTGTTGCATACAAACTACTTTTGAATAGTACGCTTCTTTCTTTGATTGAAAATTATGTGATTAGCATCTTAGAATTAGTGTTATATCATATTTCTGATTGATTCATTTTTATTTTATGTGTGAATGTTATGCCTACATGTGTGTAAGTGCACCCGTGTCATGTAGAGGACAGAAGAGGATGTCAGATCCCCTGGAACTAGAGTTATGAATGATTGTTAGCTGCCATATGGGTGCTGGGATTCAAACTGGCTATTTTGTGAGAATAGCCAGGTTCTTAACCGCTGAGTCATCTCTCCAGCCCCTAGTGTTATATCATTTTATTTATTTATTTATTTATTTATTTATTTATTTATTTATTTATTGTCTTTTTGAGACAGGGTCTCCCTGTAGCCCCAGCTGTCCTGGAACTCACTATGTAGACCAGGCTGGCCTTGAACTCACAGAGATCCGCCTGCCTCTGCCTCCTGAGTGCTGGGATTAAAGGCATGCACCACCACGCCTGGCCTGTGTTACATCATTTTAAACTGATCATGAAACCATTTTTTTGTGTGTTTGAACTAGCCTCATAATAAAACAAAGATTTCCAGAATTAACTTGTATGATATAAAGAATATTAGCTATAAGTCTATTTTCAATACAGTTTTTGCCACATATAATTGTTTTCCTAAATAATTTACATTCAACTATCTCCAATAGCATCACATTTAAAGGCTTGCAAGATTCAACCTGAGAGAAGATAGTATTTGAAACAGATGCCTATTGTCAAACAAATGGGGGCCAAAGTTCAAGAAAAAAAAATCAGTAAGTCTAGATTAATCAAGACTTTCCATAAAATATATAGTTTGATATTTCATACTTGCTGAATAAATATTATCCTTTTATGTGCTGGCTGTTTATTTAAATAATGAATTGAATTTTGTTCCAGAACGATAACGATCAGCCTGTTAGTGTATCACTTTGGTGAGTAAAAACCATAACTTATTAATTTCTCTGGTTTCAAACCTAGTGCTAACATTTTCACTTGTTGAGCAATAATTAGAAATATTTTGTTCTGATAATATGTGTAGTATTTTATCCAAGAATGGCAATGCCAAAAGTTTTCACTAAGTAACTGTGGCTTCTCATCAAACTTGGGCTGTGAATGGCTGAGCAGATAACATCTTTAAAATTAAACGAGCTCTTTAATGACAATTATATATATGTCCACACATAGCTTCTCATTGACAAAATTTTCATTGAACGATGCTAAAAACGTGAAGAATATTAATTTTGTGCTACAGACTTACCACAGCTCAGGTTGCTCTCAGCTTTCAGAGCCTGGGTTGGGATACTCCAAAAATCATTTTGCCAGTCCACAATATTTCCTTGCACACTACAGCTGAGGTTGGAGAAGATTTTCCAATCCATGGTAAAATTCCAAAGGCGAAAGTTATAAATGCTCCCCTTTAGAGATGCAATTTCTTTTCTATTGGAGCCCAGCAGCAATTTCCCCTTCCCAGAAATGACTGAACCAATGGTGGAATCACATGGAGCTGTTTCATAGTTTCTCTTGAAATTTATACCAACGGAGCCCGAAGTATTATTCCACACAATGCAGAGCTGCTCGAAGTTCTCTGTGAAAATGTCTTCTTTTTCCTTCACAGGTAATGCACTGTTCAGTAAGCATTTTGAGTCAGAAATGAATAGGAAGTAGTCGTTGTTAGTCTTTCCAAAGCTAAGCAACTGTGTGAGGGATGCGTCTGAGTAGGAGAAAGCCATCCAGTCACTGTCTTCATTGTCAAGCTTGGTGACTTCGAAGCAGAGTGTGAAAGCACTGAGTTCTGGAATGGAGACACTTTTTGCAAGTGATACCTGGTAAGCATCTAGTGTCTGGGGAAAAATGACCTTTTGGTTCCTTAAGGACACAGCAACTAGGACAAAACAGAGCCAGCGATAAAGCAAAGTAACTCCAGAATACAAAATGCCTGTGTCCCTCAGCCCTTACCACCTTCTAATTAACTTTCTCCTCAGTCTTTACCCTTCCTGCACCGTTCTCTGCCCACCCTCTGTCATCAACCCTTTATCAATGGCCTCCCACCACTATTAAGAATAGCAAATTCCAACTATTTTTTCTCTATCATTTCGTCTCACACTGAAATTCTGAGCTAGAGCCATGCTGCAATTTTTTTTCTGTTCTAAGCATTAATAATTAAAACCCACAAGTCCTTAATTAGGAAAGAATTGGTTTCAGGATGACTTTTCTTGTACATAATGATTTTTGAAAATAGGCTACTTTTCAATACTTTCTAAACACAAACAACAGTTCTATATTTCACTAATGATTGTGTTTTACACTCTCAAACATTCTAGACAAAACTCTTCTCTTCAGAACTTCCGTTTTGTCCTCTTTCCCTCAATCATCAGGCTCTTTTAGGGACAAATGTAAACAAATCCTGCTGAAGGGAAGGAGTCCAGTGAAAAGAGAAACAAAGGTGGAATTTTGAGATAGAGTGCCTTCACTGATGGACACAAGGGCTAATATTCTAGGAATATAGGAAGCAGTGGCTATAAGCTCCATAACAGCTTGGCATCTCAGCTCTCCTGTAACCCTGGGCATGTTCCTTCTCCTTTCACAAACTTAGTCCTCATTGTAAAATAAAGGTCAATGATAGCTACAGCACATGGTGAATGAGAATGAAATAAGTTAATACCTCAAAGCACAGAGCAGTGCCTGTACCACAGCAATATCTAGTGGTTACTATTATCATATACATGATAAATTAAAAACAAAGCTGCTTTAGACTAATACCTGGGATATATGTGAAATCACTAAATAATACAGTATATTTAGCTCTCTATATTAATGTAATAGATAAATGTTTCTCAGAATACTACTTAATACTGGTTTCAAAGGAATATTTTTGGATATATCACATATATTGACCAAGAACAGCTCTATGTTAAATATCATTTCAATATAGTCTAGTAAAGAAAACTTTTGCTAAAATTTAAAACAATCATGAATTTTGTCTACTTCATAAATATGAAGTAGTTAAGAGATCTACTTATGCAAAGATACACATTTTATAAACCCAGTTTTTACACACCATTAAAAATGATGGAAGGAAATATCAATGTTAGTGATTATGGCTGGGTGGTGGATACACGGGGTATTGTAATTTATTCCTTTTCTATTTCTAAATGTTCTATATTTTATCATTTTAAGGTATGTTTTATTCATTTATTTATTTTTGTTCTTTTGAGACAGGGTCTCCCTGTAGCCCCAGCTGACCTGGAACTCACTATGTAGACCAGGCGACCTCAGTCTCACAGAGATCCACTTGCTTCTGTGTCCCGAATGCTGAGATTAAGGGCATGGACCACCACCATGCCCAGTAAGACATTTAAAAAAAATTACTGTGCTTAACCACATATGCACTGATGTCAGTCACAAATACTAAAATAACTCTCCAGCCTACCATGAAATGGATACTAATGAGGGTCAGCCATTTTCCTGGTTGTACCTTTCTGTTTGTTTGTTTGCTTGCTTTAAATACATGGTGTCTACTTAGGCTGCTCAGAAGAAGAAAAAAGTGTTTAACTGTGTAATTTTTAGAGATAACAGGAATATATATATATA